GGCATTCAGCCCAGAGAACTGAAAGCTTGTACTCACCCCAAAGCCTGCGCATGAATGTTCATAGCAGGAAATAACAGGTTTTCTCCCGTGGGCGAGTGATTAAACCAGCATCTCTGCTGCCAGGGCCCACTCAGCAAGGAAAGGAAGCGACTCGGACCAGCCTGTGTGAATCTCAAGAGAGTTAGTGAGTGAGAGCAGCCAGTCCCCAAAGGCTACCTGCTGCAGGGCTCCATGTGCAGCACATTCCTTCATCATCCAAATGGGGAGCGCATAGGGGGCTGCCTCAGGTGCAGGAGGGGCTACCACGGGAAGGAAGTGTGCGTGGTTGGAAAGGGACCAGAGGAGGGGTCTTTGTGGTAATAGCACTTGCTGTCTTGAATACCAGTGTCACCATCCTGGACCTCATGCTGGGGAAAAATGAGTGACAGGTACCGGACATCTCCATAGTATTTATCGCAATAGCATGTCAATCTACAGTGATTTCAAAATAAAGTTTAGTATTTTAAATACAGGTGTTTTGTAAACTACAGACTTCTTTTTTTTTTTTTTTTTTTTGAGCCTTTTATGTAAATGGGGTCAGGGATATAGCTCAATGGTACAAGCACCTGCCTGGCAAGCACAAGGTCTTGAGTTCAATTTCCGGTACCAAAAAACAAACAAGTAGGTTAAATGGAATGCAGCCCAAGACCATCTGTACTCATAAATTAATTAAATCAGACTCCCGTATGTGAAGATCATATTGTCTCCCTCATACGAGAAGCTGAAAGAGTAAATAAGACCCAAAATGTACAATAGGAAAATGGAAAGAAACTGCTCAAGCAGAAAGATAAACTAGGATGGGAAAGGAGAAAAGAAGGAAGTGAAAGCAACAAATAAAATTATACACACTCACCCAAGATAGTTTCTACTTTCTCTTAGTTCATTGACAAGAAAGATTTGTGCTAACAGTGTTTGGACAATTAAATGCCTATATCTTGTACTCTGAGTAACTAATTGGAAGATAACAAGACACAGAGTATTAACCATTGTTATTTTCCTTTTATCTTGTTTGGAAATTTTGTTTCTTTTATCTTTATTTTTTTTTCTTTTATCTTTAAAATAAAAATTTTAAATAGATAAATAATGGGCTGTTAGGTGCAGCTCAGTGGCAGAGCTTGTGCGTAGGATGAGCAGGGCCCTAGGTTTGATCCCTGGGACCCCCCTCCCCGAGGAACGGGGGCGAACCCTACGTCATGTGTGTGGGTGCACGCACGAAGGGAGGTGTGGGAACATGCACAGCAGACTTTGCAAGTCTTCCGCAGGAGAACAAATCTGAAAAGAGAGATTATTTACTTCTTTTCAACCTTTTGTTATTTGACTTGTTCCAACAGGCAGGTGGGACTTGCTGATTTTGTTCAGATCCAAGAAGTAGCAGTAAAAATGGTAGTGGGGGTGTGGAGCTCCCCACCAGCCCCGCCTGTTTTTGCGGAAAGTGCCTACCCCGTATCTTCATAAACTTTCCAAGTCTGGGGAGTGGGAACCAAGGATGAGGAGAGGAGTGGGGCTTCTTCGACCTCTCTGAACTCACCCCCCCCACCCCCGCTGTCCTGAGGCCAGGAGCCCCTGCGCTAATCGACACCCACAGCTCTCCACTGACACCGCTGCTCATGGAAGCAAAGACAAGTGACATGAGGGACGGGTGACTAGGCCCTGCAGCAGCAACCTCTCCTGGACCAGCACCAGGGGGCTGAGAACCATCCTAGCGCCTCTCAGCTGTTTTATACCACTCTCCCAACATCCGTAGGAGATAAGGCTGTGCCTATACAGATGGGAAGACAGGGGAGAGGGGTTAGCTCTGCTTTGTATGTACTCCTGAGACGCTTGCACTATCTCTCCCGCCCCTGACCAAGGCCAGCTGAGCCACCACTGGCACTCAAGGTCCAGCGGCCTTCAGGAAACAGGGTTGTTCCCAAGCTCCTCACCTAACTCTTTGGAGATAGCAGCTAAGAGAGCCCAGCAGATGGAAAGCTCAGGGAAGGGCAGCTGGTGTCCAGCTTGGTAGGATTGCCAAAAGATGGGTGTCGTCTAGAACACAGCCTGACTCCAACACAGTGCTTCTGACTGACTGTGAGGTCAGGCTGAGCTGTTGGAGGCTGGCAGGACACTGAGCAGAAGCTGGAGGAAAAGACTTACGTGGGAACGCCCCCAGCACAAGCTACACAAGGGCACAGAGGAGAGCTCCTTATTCTTCAAGAATTAGGAGGCTGCTGCAGATATGAGGGCATGAGAGTGACATCCTGTGTGCCCCTCCTCAGTGCAGGCAGGAGCTGGACGAGCTGGAGAAGATTCTGAAAGGGAGAATTTGCCTGCCCAGCGACTAAACAACCCCAGGGTCCTGCCTGTGAGTAGTGGGGAGGAAAAAAAACCAGACAGAACACATTCCCAGCCTTTCTGGGACCACCTCTCTCTCGCTCTGTCTTTTTTTTTTCTTTTTTTCTTTTTTTGGTGGAACTGGAGATTGAACTCAGGCCCTTGCACTTGCCAGGGAAGTGCTTATTCTGCTGAGCCATCCCCTCGGCCCTGGAACCTTCTCTTGCTCCGTGTCCTCTACCTTGAGTGCCACTGAGTGAGGGGGTTAGCGTCTGAACCGACTGTGCAGATTCAATGCCACTCCTAGGGATTCACTGTACTATGTGAAAGAGAGGGGGTGTCACAGATGGACAGACCCCTACGCCCGCCTCGCCTTTGTCAGCCTTGCTTCTCTGACTGGAGGGCCCTCTTGACCTTTGTCTGAGATCTGTTACTTTCCAGGGCCGGCGAGATAGCTCAGCAGACTAAGCTGCTTAGGCAAGTGCAGGAACCAGGGTTCGATCCCCGGTCCCACATGTCACACTGGCCCTGTCCCTGGGATATGCTGAGCCGGCGATGGAGCCTGGGCATGGTAGCACATGCCTGTAATCCCCATGGTGTGGAGACTGCGAACAGGAGGATCACTACTAGTCTGAGCTGCATAGTGAGAACCTGTACCCGATACATAGATTTAAAAAAAAGAAAATCTGTTACTTTCCTCTCACTGCTGGGACAAAAAAAAAAAAAACCTGACACCCAAAGTTAAAGAGGGAAAGGTGTATTTAGTTCAGTTCGCAGCAGCTTCAGGCCTGCTCAGCTGGCTCCAAGGCAGAGTGGCGTGTAGCAGAAGTTGATGGCAGCAGAAGATAGAGAATCTGTCTGTCCTTATACCGTATGTGGGCTACCCGCCCTAGGCTAGGGCGAGCGCTCACACCCGTAAACGCAGCATCAGACCACAAATCAGTCACAAAGTAGATTCAGCCCGCTCCCCGTGACTGCATGAGGCTTTGGGGTGACATCCAGACACAAACTGTAACACCCTGTTTTCCATCGACAAATTATTTGTCATTTTTCTTTCTTTTTTTTTGTTTTTTGTTTTTTGTTTTTTGGTTGTGTGTGTGTGGCCGGCTCAGCCCACCCTGAGGGAGAGGCTGGCGCAGCATGGGGTGCTGGGGATCGAACCGCAGTCCTCTGCGCCTGCCTAAGCTTGCCTAAGCAGGTGCTTTAGACAGCTGAGCTGCCTCGCTGGCCCCTCTTTGTCATTTTTCAAGATGAGGCTGTAGCACCTGGGGGGGGACCCCTGCTGCCACCCCAGGAAGTGCTGCGTGGCGCCTCTTGTCCTGGCGGCTGTTGATGGCTATACCATTTACTCTTGCGGGTGTCCAGACTGGGAACATAAGAGGCGTAGTCTCCTTTGAGGCTTCCTCTTGTCACCAGGTCACTGAGGGTTCTTTTGTGCCATTGCGAAGAATTCACAATGTGGCAACGTGCAGCTCACTTGACATTAGCATCTCCCTTAGAGTTCGCTTTGAGCGCTGGTGCCTCGTAACTCTTCCTGTTGCAGCTTTTTTTTTTTTTTTTAATTTAGTGCAGGGTCTATAGGGTCTTACTACACAGATCAGACTCATAGTGATCATCCTATTTCCAGCCTCCCAAGCATTGGGATTACAGGCACACCACCACACCCAGTCTCAGTCACCATATCAGTGTGCCCGGGCGTGGGGCCAGCATGGCGTGCCCAGGGATCGAACCCAGGTCCCTGCATCTGTCTAAGCAGGCACTTTAATCCGCTGAGCCATCTGGCTGCCCCCGTTACAGCGTTTAACCAGGGCATCCTCTCCACCACTGTTCCCTGCTCGCCTGCTCTAGCATGCCCAGCTCTCTTTACTGCAACCCGCTCAGCCTGCTGTACTTGAGATAAAAATTGCAAGCAGGGCTTCTGCTCTAGAGGAAGCCCTGCCGGACAGGTCTGCGGAGTGCGGAAGAGCAGGCCCTCATGCGCTCGGTCTCCCGCAATGCATGGAGCTACTGGGGGTGCTAGGTGGGGTCCTCTGGAGGTCGCAAGGTAGAGACATCCAGCGTGCTGCTGGAGGCATGTGGCACGGCCCACGCTGGAGCCTGCTGCATCCCAGGCAAGCCTCCCCTGGCGCGGCTGTGCACACCTGCGGCAGCCGGCTCTGCCGCCGTGACAGCTCTGCCGAGTGTGGGAGCAGTGAGGGCTTCCGATGATTGACAGCTCCCGTGCTTTTGCGCAAACGGGGGTGGTGCGCTGAAGTCGCAACTGGCACTGTCGCCAAGGAGTGTCAGGAGGGCCAGCTGTATCCATCAGGACCCACGAGGGCTTGGGGACTTCGGGGGTGTCAGCAGTGGGCCCAGCTCCTTCTGCTTCCAAGCTGCTAGGCCACTCTGGGGGAGGCGAGGACCACAGGGAAGGGGCATGACAGCTGGCAGTCAGGTCAGATCCACATTGGCTGTAGGGTGTAAAGGAAAGAGTCAGGGACCAACCTCATTCCCACCATGCGTGTTTTCGGTGTGTGCCTGGTGTCCGCAGGCCGGCACTGCCGGAGCAGCCTGCCTTCTCTCGTGCGGAAGGCCTTCGCAGTATTACACACGCAGTCGCTGTTTGTGGAATGAGAATGTTTACAGTGTTCTTTTCCTCTCCTCCCCTCCAGGGATCTACAAAGGGCACTGCTTCCGGATCAATCACTTCCCAGAGGACAATGATTACGACCACGACAGCTCAGAGTACCTCCTTCGTGAGTACTGAGAGTCCCTTGTGCAGGTGGCGGGAGTGGGTGGCAAGGGGGCCGCTGGAGGAGGCGGGAAAAGGAGGGTGTGACAGGGCGCAGCCATGCTGCTCGGCTTTGCGAGCTGAGGGCGCGCCCTCTCCTTTCAGAAACTGAATTCTGAGAGCAAAGTTTTACACAACACAACCCTGACCATTGGATGTCTGAATGAGGTCTAGGCTCTAGGGAGCCCAAGGCCTGGGCAGGCTGGCAGACTTAGGCCAGCTTCAAGAGTGGATTGGCTGGACCCAGTGCTGGGGCGAGGAGATATAAAACAGCCTTTGCTAAAGGCCCCTTCCCAGAGGGGAAGGTCTCCCCGTGCATACTGTGCCCTGCCGGGGTGAGGCTGGCACACCTGCCCTGTACACACCCCAGGATTCTGTTCTTGAAAAACCGAATTCCTTTGCAACCAGCATGGGCTTCATGGGTGCTTGGTGCAGGGGGCGGGGACAGAACAGCCTCGAGGCGCCTTTGCACCTGGGACCCAGCGCTTGCGCCTGCGGGCCGCCCAAGGCCCCGCCTCAGGCCCCGCCCCAGGCCCCGCCCCAGGCCCCGCCCCTCCCCCAGGCCCCGCCTCAGGCCCCGGCCCCAGGCCCCACGGCTGCTGCTGTGCTGCGCCCAGCCTGGAATGCGGACACCCTCGCAGCACGCGCTGAAGCCCCGAGAACGAGCCTAGCCCCACATCTGAAATCCACCCGCTACCCCTGGAGCTCTGGGGGCCTCCCTGGGGAGGGGCGAGGAGTGCAGCCCCGGAGGGCCCGGGCGGAAAGCCAGCAGCATGTCTGTGTTGTCACCTTCCGCGTGAGTCAAGAGACAGAGTTGCTCAGCACGGCACCCCGGGGCTGGGGCCAGCGTCGTCGTTCGCAGACAATCGATACCCGCGGCCTCAGAGGGAGCAGCTTGCTCTGCGCCTGCATACAGACCTTTTCTTTTTTCTAAGAGAAAGCATTTGGCTTCTGAGTCATCTGGCGAAACAGAATAGCGTGTCGTTCACATGGTGCCCAGGCCATGTCAGGCTGCCCCAGCCAAACCCGGAAGCTGAGCTCATTGGGCCAGAGCGCTGCGCCCCGCGTCTCCTCCTCCCCTGCCTCCGGTCCCCTGACCCTGCTTCCTCAGGGCGCCACCTGACCTAGGCCGCTGGAATCGCAGAGGGCTGCTACAGATAGCTGTGGAGGGTGCGCGCTGCACAACCTGGGGAGTGTCACCTGCGTAGGTGGTGGTGTGAAGGACATCCTTAGGTTCCTCAGCACCCAGGGGACCGGCTGTGCAGCAGGATCTGAGACCCTTGGGAAGAGATGCAGCCTCTTCATCCCCCTGCTGGGGGAAGGAAACTAGGGCAGTAACTCTGGGAGTGACACCCTCCTCCAAAAGCCCGACTGGAACCCTGATGCTTCTGTCCACAGCAGCTTCCTGAGGGCAGGGTGGGGAAGGGTTCAGTGAGGGTCTGCAGGGGCACACGAGGAAGGGGCCCATCCAGTGGCAGTCCTACACTAGGGCTGCTTGAACTCCTCCAACCGTGAGGGAGGCCTGGGGACACAGCCACACCCATTCACAAGCCCAGGGACACGCACGGGAGACAGGGTGGTAGCTGCTGGCCTTTGGTCTCTAGCAGGAGGTGGACGTGGGGAGCAGGAGGCTGAGCTGCCTTCCCAGCAGGGAGGTGTCTTTCCACAGAGGCAGAGATATTTGGCCTGGAAGCTGAGCTTTTGTTTCTGATCAGCCTTTCCCTTCAGAGAGCAGGTGAGCTTGGGGGCAGAGCCAGCGGGCAGCCCCCTGAAACAGCTCAAGGTCACAGTCCCTACCTGGCCTGCATCCCCGGGTCACTCTGTCCCGAGTGTCCAGCCTTCTAGGGTCTGTAGAACATCAACACTGCTGATCTCTAGAACATGAAGACGTACAGGAGAAAAATCTCACTGGGTGCTGATAGTTGTGGAATGTGAGGGATCATCTTCGTGGACCTACTGTGTGCCGGGCACTGTATTGGGCCCCACAGGTACAATAGCAAAGAAGACAGAATTCTGTCATGCTGGTGGTGAGCAGGGCTGCGGAAAGAATTCTGTGGCAGGGGTCCCTACTGGTGTCCTGTTATAGAGGCTGCTCAGCTATCTGGGTGGGGAGCACCCACAGATTCAAATCCACAGGCTCACATTTTGTCTTGGACAATTCAGGGAGAAACCTACCCCTGAGCCATGCATTCTGAAGCCTTCCAGAGAAGCCAGGCTTGCGTCCTAAGTTATGTCATTGTCGCTGAGCTCCTGAAGGCCCCTGAACTCTTGCAGTGTCCACGCTGGTATATATACATCCTCAGCTCAGGATTTTTTTTTTTTTTTTAATTTCTCTTTAGTGTATTTGGTATAGGGTCTCACTACACAGCTCGGACTAGTAGTGATCCTTCTGTTTTCAGCCTCCCCAGCTCAAGGATTACAGGCGTGCACCACCATGCTGGGTCTCAGGGGCCAGTACAACACACCCAGGAGCAGGGTCTGTGCGGCATGTGGTGCCTGGATCAATCAGCCCAGGATTTGACCAAGTTGCTTGCCCACGCCCTGTCTGCTGGCTTTCCTGTGCCCCCTGCTGGCTCCGAGTTTTCCTACTCTTGTTGCCCTGAGCCTGGCGCCACCTTCCAGGTCCTGCATTCCCAGTTAAGTGGGTCAGTTCAGTGCTGAGCTAGAGTGCTGGTGCACCAGCAGGTATTGGAAGGTGGTGTCCACCCTCCCTTCAGGCATACCGTCACCGGGGTTTGGTCTGGCCAACCAAAAGTGGGCTGGACTCCACTCTTCCCCACGCCTCAGCCATGTGATGCTCCAGACCCTCGACCTGCACCAGGGCCCATCCAACGCCGGCTGCCACCTGCATGTCCAGACCAAGTCTGTGTGGCTGGCATGCCTCCCCTGGGGGGTGGATGGAAGGCTCTGAGCCAGGCCTGGGCCTCAGGTAACCTCACAGCCACCAGACTCCCTTCTCCCCGCTGCTCTGACCTGCCTGCAGTCCAGCATGCAGGGGAAGGTCCCGGCCCACCTCTAGCCAGCGCAGCTCAGAAACACATTGCAGAAGCACATCGGAAGTCCAGCGGCTGCGCCTGCGAGAAGACAGGAGAGGACTCGGGGAGGAGGTAGCGCCGCACAGAAGAGCTTCATTTAGTGCCTCAGACAATCCCCCATCTGTGAAGAGGGCATACCCGGGTGGGCGTGCAGAGCAGAGACAAACGCAGCCTTCAGAAGCTCCGAGGCCCGAGCCAGTCAGCTGGCCCAGGCGGGGCCTCTGCCTGTACCCCATGACTCACTGTCCCCTACTGGGCTCACCAAGGCCCCCGAGGCCCGATTTCTATGGAGTCAGGCAGGCATGGGGAAGGCTGAGCTACAGGCTCCTCTAGTCCTGCCCCTCAAGCCCTACTGTGTGCTCTGTGCACTCTCCCATAACTCTCTGAGGGAGCGTTCATTTCCCAGGCGTGCTGTAGCGAATGATCACAAACTTATGTGGCATAAAGCAATAGAAATCGATCCTCTCACATTATGGCGCCCAGAGGTCCAAACCGAGTCAGGAGGACCCAGCCCCCGCTGCTGGCTCCAGGATGGCTCTTTTCTTGGTGGCACTGGCACTTCCTGGCCACATCATTACTCTCTGCCTCCATCTTTGCCTCTGTGTGTGTCCTCTCCGGTTAAGAGCTGTGTCCTTTCTTAGGACACTTGTCATTGAACTTAGGGACCCACCCGATTCATCCAGCATGCTCATCTTGAGATCCCTAATCATACCTGCAAAGATCTTTTCTCCAGTGAGATGACATCCACAGCTCGTGGGCATAAAGCCCTCCTATATAGGGAGGTGCCCACCCTTAGAGGTTGGTATCGTTACCATTTCCTGGCTGTGACAGAATGGGTTCCAGTGGAGCCTGAAGCTGTCTGCCCAGGTCCCCTGCTGGTCAGTGGCAGAAAAAGGGAATGAATCAGTTGGATGCCCCAGTCCCCACGCTTCTCCCTGTGCCCACCTGCTGCCCCTGTGACCTTGTGCATGTGGTGAGCTTCCACGTCTTCATCTGCTCCCAGGATAACGATGGTGGTGGAACTGAGGCATGTTAGGGATATCACCTAGGCAGCATGTGATGGCCAGGCCCCACGCAGACCTTCCGTGCCCCAAACCAACTATGGGACACTGGGATGACAGCCCTCCACCCCTCCCCAGTTTCATTTTATGAGGTTTTAGCCAACTGCAGTTCAGAAATATAAAACAGTATCCGGGCATGGTAGTGCACACCAGCACTCTGGGAGGTAACTGACAACGGCAACTTTGAACCAAGCCTGGGCAGCCCAGCGAGACTCCGTCTCCCAATGTAAAAAGGACTGGCACTGAAGCTCAGTGGCCCTGAATTTGGTTATTCACCTCGTAGGACTTGTGGGGAAGGGTCCAGAGATAAACACTTCATGTGTTTTATTGGTTGGTGGTGGGGATTTTTTTTTTTTTTTTTTTTTTTTTGTACTGAGAATTGAACTCAGGACCTTGAGGCTAGGTCTTGCTTTGTAATTCAGGCTGGCCTTGAGCTCTCTATGTAGCCCAAGCTGGCCTCCAATTCATGGCAATCTTCCTCCCTCTGTCTCCCAAGTGCTGGGCTTACACATTTTAAGTAATTTTATTTACACTATATTTGTGTAATTGTTCTATTATTGATTGTTGGCAATCTCTTACTGCACCTAACTTGCAAACTTTATCACAGATATGTACATAAACAAAAACACATGGTATAAAGTAATGCCTCAGCTCATGAACCCTGCTGTTTGCCAACAGTTTGGTTTGCAAACAAAAGCACTCAACAAAATTTTGCTCTGTTCACAGTCTCCATGTCAGGGTCAGACACCACCACTGCCATCTTGCCCACCCAAACACAAATGCGGCCATGTTCCCCCAAACCATAGAACAAACTAAGTGTGTAAACTGAGGTACCACAGTGTATAGGGTTCACGACTCTCTGCGGTTTCTGACCAGGCCTCCACAGATTAAAGGGAGAGCCTATACCACGAGCCATGGGACAAGTGGCATTTTGGAAAGTGGCTCATCCGAAGCCAGTGCCAGCAGGTCACAGAGCAGGGTCAACATGCCGTAGCTTCTCCTGTGCCGGAGACCTGAAGGAACTTGCCCAGTAGAGACAGGGTGAGGGCCCAGGATGGATATGCGTGGCCTCGGAGTACAAGAATTGGTGTTGCTCTCCGCCTGGTGCTGACACCAAAGTGGGTGTTAGAAGTTACAGGAGGATGTCTCCAGGGCCTGGGTGAACACCACACCTCTTCTTAGAGAGGTCTACAGCACTGACCTCGAATGCTGCTTCCCAGGCTCCCAGGGCGGCAGAGACTGTGTCCTGGAGAGGCCTCAGCCTTGGTGGGTTGAGAAGAGCTACATGAAGCTGCCGCAGCCCATGGCTGTTACTGTAACCTCCCAGGGCCACTGAGGGACTCTGCTCCCTCCCAGGGGGCAGAAGTGTGAACCATCCTCCAGGAAAGGCTGTACAAGATGTGGGCAGATGTGACCCTGAGCCACTTGGTGTCTCAGAGTGTAAACCACAGGCCTGGGGCCATCACTTGCCGCCAGTCCAGCTAGCTCAGCCTGCCTGGCCTTAGCCCTGTGGTCCACATCCTAATGGACATCTCCATCCCCTGGGGAAGCCCTAGAGCTGTGGAGCTCCCAGGAAATGGTCATGGCCATGGTCAGCAAGGACAGCCGTTCTCACTGCCCTCTCTGCTCTGTCCCTTCCCTGGTGCAGGTATCGTGCGAGCTTCCAGCGTCTTCCCCATCCTCAGCACCATCCTCCTGCTGCTCGGAGGGCTCTGCATCGGTGCTGGGAGGATCTACAGCCGCAAGAACAACATCGTGCTCAGTGCCGGCATCCTCTTTGTAGCTGCAGGTGAGCCACCCACCCCAGTACCCCCACCAAGGAGCTGAACACCCAGAAGCACACATACACATGGTCTCCACTGACCCGGTGCCTGCATCCTAGTGGGAAGCCAAACCACAATTGCCATGCATGGTGAACTTTAAAAGTCCAGGTGTACAAGCCTGGGGTTCTTCTGCTTGACAAGTTTTCCTTTTGGGATGACAGTGTCTTGGGACTAAACAGAGAAGCTGGGTGCCCACGTTATTATTGTACTAAACGCCACTAAGTTGTACGCTTCCAAGGGGTTAGTTTTATATTATATGAATTTTACCTCATTTAAAAATAATAGGTGGGGCTGGTGAGATGGCTCAGTGGTCTAAAGCACCTACTTAGAACAAGCTTAGCAAAGCAAAGCGACCACGGTTCAATCCCCCAGCACCACATGCCAGCCAGCCCTGCCCCCTGGTGGGCTGAGCTGGCCACAAACACACACACACACACACAAATTAATTAATTAATTAATTAATTAAAAATAATAGGTGTACAGAGTGTGACCAAAGCCCCGCTGGGTGCTTTGTGGGCTTGTAACGGGGGCCCGGCTGAGTAGGGGTCAAGGAGGTTCCCGGGGAGCCGAGACCTGAAGGAACTTGCCCAGTAGAGACAGGGTGAGGGCCCAGGATGGATATGCGTGGCCTCGGAGTACAAGAATTGGTGTTGCTCTCCGCCTGGTGCTGACACCAAAGTGGGTGTTAGAAGTTACAGGAGGATGTCTCCAGGGCCTGGGTGAACACCACACCTCTTCTTAGAGAGGTCTACAGCACCTGCAGAGGTTGGCATGTGCGAGGGGGTCCTGGAGATGCCGAGGTACAACGACACCTAGAAGAAAAATTTGTTACCAAAGTCAAGAAAGGCGCAGCTAGGAGGGCAGGGCCAGAGGCCCGCCTCCAGCCTCCGGTCCCCCTCCTGTTGTTCCGGCTGCGGGTCTAACCCCTGCCTCTCTCCTTCCCCTCCCCCCTACTTGCTCCCTCTCCAGGGCTCAGCAACATCATAGGCATCATCGTCTACATTTCCAGCAACACAGGCGACCCCAGCGACAAGCGAGATGAAGACAAGAAGAACCATTACAACTACGGCTGGTCTTTCTACTTCGGGGCCCTGTCCTTTATCGTGGCGGAGACAGTGGGCGTCCTGGCTGTGAACATTTACATTGAGAAAAATAAAGAGTTGAGGTTTAAGACCAAACGGGAGTTCCTTAAGGCCTCCTCCTCTTCTCCTTATGCCAGGATGCCGAGCTACAGGTACCGGCGACGGCGCTCCAGGTCTAGCTCAAGGTCCACCGAGGCCTCGCCATCCAGGGACGCGTCCCCCGTGGGCCTGAAGATCACGGGGGCCATCCCCATGGGGGAGCTGTCCATGTACACACTCTCCAGAGAGCCCCTCAAGGTGACCACAGCCGCCAGCTACAGCCCCGACCAGGAGGCCGGCTTCTTGCAGGTGCACGACTTCTTCCAGCCTGACCTGAAGGAAGGCTTCCATGTGAGCATGCTGAACCGGCGGACGACCCCCGTGTGAGCTGCCTGCTTCCTCTTGGCACTGGCCTCCCCTCCGGCAGCACTGTCCGTGTCCCACAGGAGGGCATGTGGTCCTGACGGCAGACGGACAATGCACTGAAGCCAGATGCAGCCCTCCCTGTCTGCACGTGGCACCATGGGCCGGCTGAGGGTGAAGGAGGCCTGGAGATGGGAACCTGGGCTGCCTGAGAAGTGGAAGGCTGACTTTGTTCCCCCAACAAAGGTTTCCAAAATCTCCAGGAAGCCCGGGAGCTTTCCTGAGGCTACACGGGGAACTAAATTGAGCCATTACCTCTTGCTGGAAAGAAGTCGTGCCAGAAGAATGGGATTTTAGGCCCTTGGCTCCCTGCTGGATGCCGGCCACCAAAGGGCTCTCTGGGCACGAGGGGCTCTGACATTGTCAGCTGCTTTTGAACCAGAAGTTCCCGCATCTTAGAGCTGGAAATGAGGATGTTGAACCTCACCCCCTCCTTTCCCCTTTCCACTGCTCTGGCACCCTGGCAGGGGACAGTTGGCAAGGAATTGTCATCCTGAAGAGACGCTCTGCAGCCAAATGGTGCTTCGGCCTTGTGCTATCCTGGGGCTGGCTTCCCTCCACTTGAGGAGACTGAGGCCCGTGGAGGCACTGCGGGGAGGCTAGGGCTGATGATGGCTTTCCTGTCTGCTTCTGGAAGCTTCTGCCTTACTCAGAATGGGTAGAACACAATGAACCAGAAGGTCTGGAGGAGTCCACCGTGAGAGGGAAGGGAGCGGTGTGCCTTGGTGTGTCTGTCCCCAATGGCCTGAAGAGCAGTCCTGGCCCTGGTGGGAACCCAGGGGAAGGTGGAGGCAGACTCCCACGCCCCCAGCTGGCATCTGGCAACAGAAGCCTGAACCTCTGTGCAAGGAAGGGGACCCCAGGGAAAACGGCAACCAACACCAAAACAGAAGAGGCAGCCTTTTCCGAGGTGGCCATCAAATCAACACCAGGGAAGCGAGTTGTACTCATTTCCTTGTCTTAAAAAGTAGCAGCAACGTGACCAAGTCCTGTCATTGTGATTTAGTCTGTCACCACCAGCAAGGACACAGAAGAAGAAGTCTGACCGAATAGGCCACGCTGGGCTTTTCTTCATCCCTAGGAGAGAGGACCTCAACGCATTGTTCAGAGCCAAGCAAGCAGGCACTATGTTTTGCAGTTTTTCCAGCCATTTTTCCCTTCTTCTGAAGCAAGCAGAGAACGTGAAAGTGTGTCCCGGTTCTGAGGAACTCTCTGAAACATGGAACTTACCCTCTTTTCTATAAAACACGTGCTTTCTAAGGAGAAATTGTTTCTTACTTTTTGAGACTTCTTAGCCCGTCCTGAACAGTCCTCTGTGACCCCGGTAGGTGTGGCACTTAAACGCAACGAGCAAATCTTTACCTCAGCCACCTGCTCGTGGAGCCCTGGGCGGCCCCAGCCCGTGCGGCTGACCTCCGTCCTGCCCGCCCGCCTTCCCCACGCAGGAGGGGACCTCTCACGTCGCATCCCCGCCAAGCGCCCCTGTGTGCCGGTGAGCTGAGAGGCGAGGCGTCCAGGGCCCCTTCGTGCTTGCTCGGAGCCCTTTCCTCCCGGTGGGGTCGACGCTGGATGGTGGTGTGTCTGAGCACGCGTGACAGCGAGCGCCACGGCATCGGCGTGTGGCCCGTCCACACCACCCGGCCCCCTCCACACCTGCGCCACCACCCCATCGTCTTACCAGGCTGGAGAAAGAACCAGCGTCCCGCCAGGCCCCGGGGCTTGTCTTCTCTCTCTTCCCAAGGCGAGGCAGCCCGGCTGCAGCTGCCACACAAGCCACCTCCACCGCTGCCCTAGCAGTCTCTGTGGTTCCATCAAGAAAGCTGAGCTCCAATGAAGCCCACCTCTTGCCCTGTCCCAGGCGGAGAACGCAGGGCCCCGCTCTGGGGTCCAAGAAGAGCAGCAAGAAAGGGAAAAGGCAGCCGAGTGGGACAGAGAGCAGGGGCGGCCAGCCTCGGCCGCTGCAGCCTCCACGGCCTTGCGTCCACGGCCGGCCGGCCTTCTCCGGACGCTGATCGTGCTGGCCTGTCCTCCAGCCAGGCCTGCTCGGTGCCCCGGCCAGGCCCAGACCTGGCTGCCTGGGGAGAGGTGTGGCCTGAGCCCTACCCCCCTCCACCCGCCCTGCCCTCCCACTGTGTGTTTCGCCCCTTAAGCACCTGTACCCACTATTGGTTTGGGGTTGTTAGTTCTGTCTTTTCTTTTTTTTAATTAAATAAAAACATTTTTAAAATGTTCTCCTCTTGATGTAGGGAGGTGAGGGCTGAACGCTGCTTGAGTCTCTTTGTGACTACTTTGCACCCCACCAGACCCTCCAAGAGAAGCCGGAGGCTGAGGGTTGGGGACAGATAGCATCTGGCCACGGCTGGTTTCTCAGTCCGGGTCACTGGCTGCCCCCCACCCAGGATCCTGGCTGCTCTTAGACTTCTGGGTGGTGCCAGCGGGGTGCATTTTCCCAGGTGATGGGCCACCACCTTGTGTGCTGTGGTCCCACCCAGGCAGCAGGGCAAGCCATGCTGAGCTCAGAACCTGTGAGCAAGAACCACCAAAAGAAGTCCAGAGATGCCACGTACCTCAGAAAGGCCACTGATGGGCCTCTTTTCCCAAAAATTCTTTGGTGAAGAAGGAGAGGAGCCCAAACACCAAAACATGAGCTGTGGCTTGGATGAAAAGCCAGATGGGCTTCCTTCTGCTGTCACGGGACTAAGCCACCTAGTCCCAGGCAGAGCACCTGGCCACTGCTGTCCCCTGGCACAGGGAGAGACGTGAGGTAAGGGGTGTTGAGGGGTCAGAGTGGCCGCCTTGACCTAGGCAGCACTTGACCTGCGGTCAATGGCCGGGGTGGCCCTGACTGGACATTGGCCTCCTCCTCAGGCCTGAGGTCTATGCTGATCACTTTTCTCTCGTTGCTGAGACAAAGTACCTGACACCCAAAGTTAGAGGAGGAGAAGTTTATCTGGCTTATGGTTCATAGAAGTTTCAGTCTAGTTGGCTGGCTCCAAGGCAGGTGGCATCAGAGGAGAAACGGTTCATTGCACAAAGAAGATAGCAAAGGCCAGCAAGGGACAGCCCTGGCCCTCTCTGGCCCTTATATTTTACTCAGACTACTTAGAGCGGGCAGCACTCACACCCCCAATCCCAGCGCCCTTGATCCTAGCATTGCACCATGAGTCGATCCCAGCCCCACACACTCTCCATGCAGCCGCCTCTGACAGAATGAGGCTTTGGGGGACATCCAGACACAAGCCAGAGCAAGGAGGGAGGGATGGCCGAGCCCCTGTGCCACAGCACTGCCCGTGCTGCAGTCAAGGGACCCTTAGTCCAAGCCCACCTCCCCCTTGAGGCTGGTGGCTGTGAGTCTTCCTGTGAATGAGCTACAGGCTTCATGTGCCACCTTTGAGAACTTTGTTCCCACCCAGGCCTTGCACCCTGGTCCCCGGGTGAGTGAGGAGCCAGCGGTGACACCTAGGTGTCCCTACACCCCCTTGTGCCCACAGCATCCTCTCTGCTCCTTGAACTTTCTGCTCTGACTAAAGCCTCTCTCTTCCTGCCTACAAAGGACAGTTAGGAAATGAATGCCCCAGATATACTGAGCCCCCAGGTCCTGGGGCCAGAGAGCTCAGACCGCGTCGGTCCCCCCAGCAGGTCCTGGCCTTGCTGGGGCTGATCGCATGGCCAGCCTGGAGCCGGAGCTGCCTGGACACGCCTCCTTGCACCAGAACGTCTGCCCTCTGTTTATTCTTAGCCCTGAAGAAACTGGCTCAGCAGAAGCCTCCCGACCTTCCCGAGCAGACTCCCGTCCAGTCTGCATTTCGTGACTGGCCACCACCTCACGTGTGCTTCAGCTAAAAACTCTTGACTCTGTATCTTTCAGAGTTAGGCCTGCCAGAACCCACACAGAAATCAATGTCCCAGTTCCCAAAGAAAATACGAGTCGAACTACCTTTAGTTCTTTGGCCCCATTTTACCTTCTGTCTTAGGCTAACTCTAGGACCACAAGTATGTAATGGCTTATTACATTAGAAGTTCAATTTTCTTTTCTTTTTTTTTCTTTTCTTTTTTTTTTTTTTTTTTTTTTGCGGAACCAGGGATTGAACTCAGGCCCTTGTGCTTGCCAGGCAAGCACTTTTCTACTGAGCTATTTCCTCAGCCCCAGAAGTTCATTTTTCATTCATGAAATCCACCTGGCAGCAGAGAGGCAATCCCTGCTCTCTATGGCCATGAAGATTCAGAGATACCTGCTGTGGAAGTGTGGAAGTTGCCCTGGCCATGGATAACCTAGTGGGCAGATAAGAACAAGGAGAATAAACGCTCTTTTGGGCAGAGGTTTTAGAGGGAGATTTTAATGGACCAGAATGGTGTCACTTCACCTTCAGTGCACGTACCATTGACCAGAATATAATCATGTGACCACATCTAAGAACAGGGAAGATGGGAAATGTAGTCCAGCCAGGAGGACAAAAATAGTTTGCAGAAGTACTGGTCAGCCTCAGTCCTTGGTGGGTGTCTTTCCATGCATCCTTCAGCTCCAACCTATTGTCTGGTCCTGTCTCTACTCCAGATGCCCTGCTGTGAAGTAGGTCCTTCCCTGGTTGGGAGTGCATCCTTGACAAAAGAGCACAGCATCACTGGACATTGTGACCAGCAAGACTGGCGGGCCTCTTTCATCGGAGATACCTGCTGTGGAAGTGTGCCTGCTCACCACAGAAGGAGGACCCAGCCCAAGGGGAATGCACATGGTGGGAGAGGAGGGCATGGAAGGAAGGAAGGATAAAAGGAAGAAGGCACTTTTGGGGGAATTTCCATAGCAACCATGGAAAGGGAGATACGATTAGCTCAAGGAACAGTCACCGGTGTCTGGAGACATTTTACTTGCCATAACTTGAAGACTGGTAGAGGCCGAGGAGCTGCTAAAAACCTTACAAAGCCCAGGTCGGCCCCCACCACACCCCTACAGAAGCATCTGTCCCCAGCACCAGTAATGCTGAGGCCAAGAGCCCAAGCCAGCCTGATTCAGCAGAGAGAAGCCATGAAGGGGGAGGTCAGAGAGCACAGCCACGGCAGGGCTGTGGTGCCTGCATCTAGGCTGTGGGCCCACTGGGAAAACGCCTTGGCTCATTCCTGGTGTCCTCTTCCCTTCCATGTGTTCAGACTTCTGCCCTTTTCCTCTACACCTCTGAGCCACCAGTTTCCGAAATAGAATTTTGGAAGCTGAGGAAGGAAACAAAACCGGCCCATCAGGGCTGAAGGGCAGAGACACTTCTCAAAGCCTTTGTCCCTGGGCTCAGGGACAGGATGCTGACAGAGCCCAACAGCCCAGAATCCTGGTCCAACTCAACACAGGAATGTGCTGCTTCCCGGGGGCCTCCACCCACACCCAGAAGCTGTGGGAAGGGCGGCTGAGGGAAGTCAGGTCCCAGCTCCTCCAACAAGGAAACATTTACCCCAGCAATGTGACTGGCGTCAGAGTGAATGTTCCAAAGTGTTGACAGCCCTCAAGGAGTTTCCCATGATGGACTGTTCTAGAGCAGCCCTTGTTGGAGGTGATGCTCTGAGAGCCAGACCTGTGAATCCTCCTGTTGCCAGTTCCTTCTCCGGATGACTCTCATTTATTTCTCCCAGTCACAGATCCAGGGTTCCTGGCTGACAGGGGAAGGAAGGCTGGTGGACCTTGCATCCTCTGGAAGGCTGCACCAAAAGCCCAAGGGAGAACTTCCTAAGCTTGTGGCTTCTGACAAAACTGTTGGCACAGTCTCAGAAGTAGAAGTCTTGTAGGAGACAGTCACGAACTCAGGTACTTGGACTTAAGCTCACAGGACAGGGAAGCAGGGGGCGGTACTGACAGCTCCCCCCACTCCTTCCCCACCTTCAGGGCAGAAGCCTCCTCTGAAGGCCAGAGCAAAGCATCCTACAAGCTTCCCACAGTGCCACCCCCCACCTTCTTCTTGGCCACTCCTTCATGCTTGCCAAAGATGCCGCTGTTGGTGCCTCTTCTTTGTCCCAAGTCCTGCTACATTATGTAAAATCACATCAACCTTGGCTGTAGTCAGGGGTTACAAGGGGACAGGTTTAATCCAGGACACATAATATATAGGATTATGTTCTAATACTCACCCCAAGAGAATGCAAAAGAATGTGGGATATCTGTCCACACACTAGAGACCCCAGGAATCCAGCTGGGAGACTGGATCCCATGCAGTGCCCTGCAGGAGCCCAGAGACGGCCCAAAGCCTGTCTCATGAAAGTCTGTATCAAACATCTGCACTGGGCAGCCCCAAAGGCCAGTGGTGGATGCTAGAAAATCTGCGCAGTGGGACCAAGAATCTGCACTGGACCCAGGCAGTGACATTCAAGGTAAGAACCAGAGCTCCCCTGAAGAGAACTACTACAGCTGTCCTCAGTGACAGCAAGGACCTGAGCTCCTCCTCCAATTCTTTTATGCTGCTGGCAACAACCCTCAGGTGGGCCTTCCACACCCAGAACCATGTTGGTTCAGTTCAGTGGGATGCTCCAAGCTGACCATTAGTTACTTTGAGGATATGACTAAATTAAGAATTTTTGGCTGGGCTGATGGTACACACCTGTAATTCCAGCATTTGGCAGGCTGAAGCAGGAGGATTACCATAAATTCGAGGTCCCCTTGGGCTATGCAGTCTACTCAAGGCCAGCCTGAATGACACAGTGATACTCTGTCTCCAAAAAAAAAAAAATTTGGGTACTTATAAATCATTTAAAATTAATTATTTTGAGATAGGAGATTATTCCGGGTTGTCCAGGCAGACACAGTGCAACTACAAAGGTCCTTGTAAAGCAGAGAGAGAGGTAGGCAGGAAAGTCAGAAATGTGACGGTGGGAGTGGAGGTCAGAGTGACAGTGCTGCTGGTTTTGGAGCTGGAAGGTACTGTGTGCTGAGGGCAGCCTCCAGAAGGTGAAAAGGCCAGGGAAGGACTCTGCCCTGCAGCCTTCACAAGGAGCAT